CGCCCCCCCACCCAATTCTCCCCCCCCACACACGCCAAAGTTGTAAAGTTCGTTTTCGACATGACAACTTGTACTTCTCTAAGATACCATTCTTGTGCTGAGCTTCTTTAACTGAATGTTCTGCTTATGGTATTTATTTATATAGTGTCTTGGCAGCTTATTCTTCTTTATTGTGGTACGATATTTCATTTTTTTTTAGAAACCAGATTTAGTACAATACTTTATAATAGAAAGGCATTGAAAATACTACATGCTAACACTGACAATATGATACACGACTTCAGGGGGTGAGGGGGCGTGTGGCTGAGACCAGGGCTGAGGCCAAAGAAGAGCCTTTCAATGGACTGCTGAATGGACTGGATCTGCTGCTTCAGCTGAGAGCCTTCTTTGATGGTGACAGAACAGGCAATGACAGGCCTGGAAACCCCGCAGGCTCGCCCCAGGGCCTGCTTAGAGCCCACGAACACGTAGGGCACATTCTTGTCTTCGCACAGCAGGGGTAGGTGCAGGATGATCTCCAGGGGCTCGGCATCTGCTGCCATCACAATGAACTCAGATGCCTCTGTTGAGGGTTTTGGTGGCCTCATTGGCTCCTTTCCGAAGCTGCTTGTAGTTACATGACTGCTGAACAAGATCTAACAGTTTCTTGGTGAGATGAGCATCTGCAAGAGGATAGGCCTTGGGATTCACATCGGCCTCAGTCATGGCTGCGATCCGGCGGGCACGCCTCTTCCAGCTCACGAGCAGTCGACGTCAGAGAAGCCGACGATATTTCATTGTATAGATACAGCAGAAACAGTTTTTCACTCTTCTGTTGATAGAAATTTGGGTTCTTTCTAGTTTTGATGCATTATAAATAATGTGGCTATAAACATTCTTTTTTCTTTTTTTTGGGGGGGGGGTCCGGTCGTGGGGCCTGAACTCTGGGTCTGGGAGCTGTCCCTCAGCTCTTCAGCTCAAGGCGAGCACTCTACCACTTGAGCTACAGCGCCACTTCCAGTTTTAGTTTTTTAAAAATTTAAATAAACTATTTTTCTATATATACAAGATGTGTAAGTTTAGTTGCATTCTTATCAAATGAACACGTCCAAGTAGGTACCAACCAAGCATAATGTAGAGCCACCTTCTGCTCCTTGCTAGTCCTTATCCCTTTTTCTTCTCTCCAGAGATAACCACAATACTGACTTCTAAAATCAAAATTCATTTTTACTGTTTAAAATTTTATATAAATGGAAACTCACGGCTAAGATACCATTCTTTTTTATTTTTATTTTTTTGTGAACATACTGTACAGAGGGGTTACA